ACACACGCATATTTGTGCTTAATTTCATAAATGATGAAAATGAATGGAGTGGAGTGGAGTGGAGTGGAGCAGCATTAGATATTGCCAAATGAATAGAAGAGTTGAGTATTGTTTATGACACTTTCTTTGTGAATGTAAATTTACGATGACGAAAATCTTTCTTTTGAAATGCTTTGAGTTTTTTTATTTTCTGGAAAACTATGCCGGATATAGCACGTATTATATAATTCAACAAGTGTGTCATATAAATACAAAAGCTGGCGGTGTCATAAAAAAGTTTATGATACGCTTTTTTCACGCCTTTCATCGCACATTTCCTTTCAAGTCGATTTTGTTTTTGGTTATTTTATGAATTTGGGGATTTTGTTTGTTGCTTGCGGTTGCACAGACTGCCTTTGTGATTAACTTACATGCTTGCTTACATATAAAATGCCGACAAATGCGTACTACTTCAGCAAATGTACTGAACGCTGTCTCTTCGCCAACTCTTTTTCAAATTTTCTGCTGCATTGTATAATTATTTTTAAATTTCCAAATGAAATTTTATTACTCATAAAATGTTTTGGTGCATCAGAATCAGTTAAAGTTTCATGAGAATATACATTTTTAGGTGGATATAAATACAAACCGACAGCTGATTTTTTTAGTGCTCTGTGGAAAATTACTCGTAAAAATCTTTAATGTGTTCGAAAAAATCTAAATTTAATTTGTTCCTTTTAGAATTCTACAATTCTATTCGTTTTTAAGGTCTATTAGAACACTTTTGATAAACTAATTTGCATAAATATTGGTCATTATGGTTGTAAAAAATATATTTGCCGGCGTTCTCTAATGACTTCATTGCCGCACCTTTAAAATGTTATTATTTCTATTGTCGCACTCATTAAGGTAATGCATGAGTAAACTTTCTAGTGGAGTGAGAAGTAAAGTCGGAATTTTTATGCTTTCATCAAACAAAAAAAAAAAAAAAAAAATGCGGGTAGAAAATGCTTCCAATACGTGAATCCAAGCCTGGAGATCGGCCTCTAAGTGGCTCACCAAGAAATCGAGACGATTCTGATAAATGGCAGTGAAGTTAGAGGAATAGCAGCTTTAAATAGATGTATGCATATAAATTTAAGACGCACGTAGATTACGCGACTCGAGAATCTGAAAATATTTTACAGGCTTCAGAAAAGGTAGTGTTGATCACATATGTCTCAAAAAAAAAACAGCGCTGGTATCGCGTTTTAAGGTGAGGTTTAGTCAACTGGTATATCGAAATAATGTAAACACTATTTACTACATAATACATAATAATATACATAAATATAACTTAAGGAAGAGCGCCACTAACTATTGCCCCATTACTGCCAAACCATAGTTTGAGAGCTGACTGAAGTACCAGAGAGCCCTTAAGACTATTTAAAAAAAAATTGCAATCGACGGTGATTACATCTCCAATTCGAAAAAATTTCGCACAATAATATTTACACTACTCAAAAAAATTAAGAGACCAAAAAAAAAGACAAATTTTTAGGTGATTTCTGACAGGCTGTATTTCGGTGAAAAATGCTCGCGTTGAGAATTAAAAAAGCACTTTGAAGCTTTAACGTTCTAATTTTCAGATTTCTTATATAAAAATTTCTAGTTGCTACGGTTGTCATGTAATCCTGACAGATAACGCGAACAAATAATTTAGAAAACTTGTTTTTTTTCTGTCCACGGGCTTGAAACAAATTTTTCGCTTTCCTTTTTTAAACCTCTCTTAATTTTTGTAGAAGTGTATTTTAAGACAGAGATTGCAAAAATTCCTCACTGAGTAATAAAACTTCAATGTAATTCTAGAAAAATAATTTGCAAGTTTTAAGTTGCTAAAAAGCGCTTTATTTTTGATATCTGTTTTTCTGACTGTATTCCAAATTTTTTCGATTCAAAAAAATTGTCGAATATACTTTGTATGGAAGGAAATGCGTTAAAAAAATTGCCAAGAATCGACGAAATTTTTTAGCAACTCAAAACTTGCACATTATTGTACTAGAATTAATTGAAAATTTAGATGCAACTTTGCAATTGAAAAAAAAATGGCTTATGAAAGATGTTTGAGTCAACTCTTGACAAAAAATTTGAATTCCTCGGTTGAAAATCTACAAAAAAGTCCAAAAAACCAATTTTTTTTGATGTTAGCCAGCAAAGTATTAATTTTTTTGAAATTTTTGGGGGGGTTGAATATAATGATCATATAACGGCACTATTTTTCCTTTGTCAGTTTTCGAACCCATATTTTTCCATAGTTTTATCTTATTCCTATCGAGAGATTTTCTTGCTTAAAGTTTTGTTTTACGAACTCTGAAATTAGGAAGGTCAGCGACCGTTACTTGTAAAAACTTGCATATTCCATTGTTAGATCTAGTCTTCATATATAATTTGGCGAGTTTTGGGAATATGGTGGTAGTGTAGCAGCAGGGGGTCCACCAAAACTAGTAAAATTTTGAAAGCGGTTTACGAGAAAAGAAAGTTTGGGAACCTCTGGTCTAAAAGGATCCCTTGTTCACCTTAAGGTCACCCACGGCTCTGAATGCCACGTCTTGGGGGCCGCAGAATGCTCTATGGGCTGAAGGGAAATTTATCTGCCCCAGAGTAGCCCATAGCAATTCAAAGGTATTTTCGCACTGCGCTTTCTCAGTGAGACTACCAATAATCCGTAAAGCAGTACCCTGCAATATTACTCTGGCCTATTTCTAGTATAAGCCTCGTAAGTGCGCCCTAGATATAGATTTCTTCTTGGATATAGAGAGAGATTTAAAACTCCTTTATTATCACACAATTGAGGCACCCATCAACTGCCTTATTAATGGCAGCTACCTCTACGGGGAAACCACTTCATTTATAGCAAAAGCCAAAATTTGAGATTGATGAAGAGTTTCCAGCGGCATACACTTATATCAGCTCTTGTATCAAACTTCGTAATGTCGGCGTTAGTACTGCTCCCACCACTCATCGCATGAGGCATTTTGAGTTGACAAAGGATTGATTGACGCCAGTCTATCCCCTCACAAGGATCAAGTCGAAATTTCCGATAATACTGATCGTGGCCTAGCGGAAGTAGTCCGCTTACACTTCCATCGTCTTCTCTAACCCATTCCAACTGACAAAAGCTATATAGGACATTCAAAGATTAACAGTGGCATCAGAAGGGCCCCATCTTTTACAAATTGCCTCCTCACACATATCCCTATGTTAGGTTTTCACAAAAAGAATGCAGCTCAAGTACATGATTCCATCATAAAGACCAGGGCGAATAAGTCCGAAGTTTAGGTAAACTTGAATTATATCACAGAGAACACCCAGAAAAATCTTCTACTTCTTATTTGGCGCTGTAACCGCCTAAACGATTTTGGCCGAGTTCAGCAAAGCACACCAGTCGTTTCTCCTCTGTGCCAACTGACGCCAGTTGGAAACGCCAAGTGAAGCCAAGTCCTTCTCCTTCTGATCTTTCCATCGCAGCGGGGGCCTCCTTCTTCCTCTGCTACCACCAGCGGGTTCCGAGTTGAATACTTTCAGAGCTGTAGCGTCAGTATACATTCGAACAACATGGTCAAGCCAGCTGAGCCGCATTATTTTAATTCTCTGTTCTATGTCCATGTCGTTGTAAAGCTCATACAGCTCATCGTTAAATCGTCTGAGGCCTTCGCCAGCGCCAACGCGCAAAGGCCCATACATCTTTCTCTCGAAAACTCCAAGAGCCGCCTTATCCAACCACTTAACCCTCATTATAAGCACAATGTGCATAGGTAATACCCAAAAAAATTTGCTCTTCAGTTCCTCTAGAAGATCGTTTACAACCAAATTAAGCTAAGGGTGAAGAACACCACCACGTTGGGTGTCTCTGCTCACTTTTCGCCACATGGAGACAGCGACCTGTAAAGCCGTAGAAATTCTATCACACATAATGTGTTCGAACGATTGTTTAGGGACCTTTCGAAATCAATGTGGGTAGCCGCTTGCTAAGTTTTTATGCACAAATGCCTCTCATGATTTCATGATATTGTGCATGGCAGTCGCGACCGAATTTTTTTCTTTATACGCAGTTGGGGTGAGAGCCAATGTGAGGATCCTGTTTCTTATATGTAGGAAAGTCAATCAGGTTCTTTGAGGTTTTTAGGGAAAAATAAAAGGAGACTGGCTGACCTGAAACGCCTAAGGGATATCATTAAGTTTTTACCGGATCATGTATAAATTTCACTCCGAAAAGTCGCGTGGTTTCCTTTATACTGCGCTGCTTTGCAACATCCTCCAAAAACTGTACTTACTCTGCCCACGGCGGACGGACTAATGTGTCTCCGGTTTGTGGATTAGTTCTTTAAAGCGTAAGTGTCTACATGATTCTGAAGTAGCTAAGGTGATACTCGATTTTGAATGTGTCTTTTTTTGTAATAAAAAAACTAAGACTTGATCAACGTAGGTTTTTTGTTTATTCTAACTCTGTAGAGATATAGATATTATTTCTCCAATATTGGCAATTATTTAGTTTTTTTTCTATTTGTTTTCTTATATTAAATCTACATTCTCGATTGCTATGCTACTTATGAATTTAATAACACGAACGCTTAAATCTAAACAAAAAATCGCTGCTGTACAACGTTGAGTCCAATCACCACACCGCATTTCTTAGAGCATTATCCATTTGCAGCAGTCTGATGCCTTTTTTAATAATAACCGCATTTCTCTTCTACATATATTCAAAATATTCAAATTCTATTTCGCAAACTTTTGCCCAACTTTCTTTCGGCCATCAAGCGCGTAATGCCTTCGCAAAACTCTGCACTCATGCACTTCCGCAGCTTTACCCATTTAGACTTCGAAAACTCGTCTTCAGAATTCATTGGTTTCGCTTTGCCAGTCTTGCAATAAACCCAAAATTTGCAAGGACTCATACGTATCGAAATCGTCAGCGTAACGCAAGGATCTCCACGTTTGTGCGCTCACTTCCAATGCTGCTGCCATGTTTTTCGCGCACTTGCCGCTCACACCGTACGCTCTGTTGTATACGCGCGGCAGCGCCAAAGTCAACGGCAATTCTTCCGCCATAACGGAATGATGCGTGACCAATGCCTTCAGCGATGTGAATTGCTTCTTGGCGCCTTTCAATTTGTAATGATTGTCCGCCAGCGCCACGACTGCGAATTGCTTCACCTTCGTTTCGGCGCGCAGGCATAGCTCGTAGCTACGCGATTTACGGCGCAGTAGAAATGTGCCGGGTGTGGCCTGCTGAAGGCGTTCAAGCGCAGCTTTGGTGGTAATGCGCGGCTGATACCAATTGCTTGCGAGCAACTCCTCGTCATCATCAGCGTTGTTGTTGCGGTTGTAGCGCGCTTGCGATTGTTGTTTTTGTTTCGGTTTCGGTTGTCGCACGCGTTGCTTCGAAGGACTTGATTTTTCGCTTATCAACTGACAACAATCCGAGATGCCAGCATCCGAATCATCTGCGATATTTTGGTAATCAGCGACTTTATGCGCCAGCTGCGCATTGGTCTCTTCCTCCTCCTCGTCCTCCTCTTCTGCTTCTGTGCTGGTGGTGGAGTCGGTGTATTGTGTGCTGTTTTGCCAGCAATTTAACGAGAGCATTGATTTTTGCGGACTAATCGATTTTTGTGGTGTACTACGTTGTTGCTGTTGTTGTTTCGCCAGTTGTGGTTGTTGCTCTATTAGCGCAACTTTCCGCCGCGATTCTATGTCTTCGTTGTCGCTTTCTAATGGGCAAGTACATTGGCTACTGCAATCACTGGCATCCTCCTCGTCGGCGTTGTACGAGGAATCCAGCATGTCAACCTAAGGCAAGAGAGGTGAGAGAGAGAGGGCGAAAAGAAAGCAGAATTAGAACTTGCAAAGTTCGCATTCGGTCTAAGCCAACTTACCTCATCATAATCACTAGTGACATCCTCCTCGGTGTCGCTTTTGCAATGTGCAGCCTCCAATAGCGCTGATTGTTGCTGTTGCTGGCGGCGCTGCTGCTGTTCTTGTTGTCCATGTCGCTGTTGAAAGAGTTTTCGACACAAAAATTCCTTCATGCAATCATACACTTTCGGCCTTTTGTTAGCACTAACGAGCAACTCTCGATCTCCGTCAGCGCTCCACAATTGCTGCTGCCCCTCCTCCTCTCCCATCTCACGCGACCGCTCTACCTCCGACGCGTTGCCAATCATTGTCGTCAGACGGCTGTAGTAGCCTGAAGTGGCAGTGGTAGTGTTGGCCGAGTAGGAGCAGGAATTGGATTTGTGTGATGAAGACGTTGACAAGTGAGTGGTGACACAGTCGGCATTTGTTGCAACTACCGGCATTGTTGGTGTTGTTGTTACTGCTGTCCCTTTGTTTGTTGCGTCGACAGCCATTGCTGGCACTGGCATTGTGCTGTTGCTGTTGGCTGGTAGAAACTTGCTGCTCCATTGTTGATACTTGCGCAAGGCCAAGTCTATGCTGCGACTTGTCATCGTTGTCGCTGTTGCAGCCATTGCTGGTGCGGGAAGTGCTGTTGCTGTGGCGGCAAGTGTAGGCGTCGCTGTGGTCTCAATACTCGTACTATTGCAAGCGTAAGCCTGCGGATACAATTCAGCGTACGCTGGACAATTTGCGGCAAATTGCTGAAAGCACAAAAAAAGAAGAAGAATAGAATGTTAAAATTTTCTATTTGTTGCAAACTTTTCGGTGTTTTGTGCTGCAAACATTCCTTTTAATGCATTTCGTTTTAGTATTTGAGCACAATTCGCGGCAATCGCGTAGAAAATTACCAATTAGTGGAATATTTTTTTGCTTGTTTGCCAAGAGCAGTAAAGGACAAGTTTTAAAAGATTTGGAGATAGTTTAAAGTGGTCTACGCTAAAAATCGGTTGGTGGTCAAGCGCATTTAAGTGTGTGGGAATTGTTAAAAACATTAAATTACATTAAAAAAGGTCTAAAACATTTGGCGGTTTTCCAGCTTTGTGGGCAATGAGAATATTTAATTTAGAGTTTGTGGCCTGAGGATGATCATGTTGCACCTTTTTGCATTTTTTGAATAATAAGCTTTTTTCTTAGAAAACTTCTACGTGTGTTTTGCCGCACTTTTCGATATTTGAAAAGAAGCAGTCAGCCAGCAGATGTCAAAAAAACGCCGATTTAAACTATTTGCTGTAAAATGTTATTAAAAGAGCGCTCCGTGAAGAATATAACACCTACTTCAAAGAAAGAGCGAAAATTATATGATTTTTAACTTTATACCTAGCCTAATTATAAGTAATATACTTGTTGTGCTAGTGTCTTTTCAAACAAATACTTAAGTACAAATGTGTACAAATAAAATATAAATGCAAACTCTATCCAAAAGGAACAGTTTTTATTTGAAGCACCTATGTATGATTAGGGAAAAATATATAGCAAAAATGTGGTCTACTATTTTTAACTGAAGTTTTCTTGCTCCAAATCCGATAAAATCCATATTGGACCCGCGTTTTAAATTAAAAAAAATCTGACATCGCCACTTCGAAAACCCCTTTATATAAAAGTTTTTGGCAAAAGGGAGAAAAATATAAAATTTTATCGCCATATTGGATCGGCCATTTTGAATTTCAAAAATCTGACATCAGATTCGAAATTAGCGGCCTCGACATTTTTATATGAGTTTGCGTTGAAAAGGAGAAAATTATAAAATTTGGTCGCCATATTGGAACGGCCATTTTGAATTTCAAAAATCTTACATCTGATCCGAAATCAGTGACAACAAAAACACCCAAACACCAAGGTTCAAATCGATTTGGTTACTTTTGGACTTTTTTGGTAGTCGCCAGACCGTAGTGCAATAGCCCAATATAAAAAGTGTACAAATTTGTACAAATGTACCAATCGTGTCGTGTGACACTGCCTTAAGCGATTTTAGTCGCCATTTAAGATAAATATTTTATACTTCGGTTAGAGAAGAAGACATCGGAAAGCAAACTTAACCAGCCTGCTACCCTATAGGTACTCTGATAGGTTGATGGGTGCTATACATACTTAAATACATAAATACATAGGCTATTTGTATGTAAGAAAATGCATTCCCATTTGTTGACAATAAATTTTCCTTCAAATGAACCTACGCTCCAGTGAAGCGTTACAATAACGCATTTGTCTAAAATGAAAATACGCGTGCCCAGCATTGCTGGTAACGAACTCTCGCTGAAGGTGCGTTATTCTGCATGGCCTTAAATTACACTAGGGGTATTCACGATCAAATGCATGGATACTGTCTAGCATGGTGCATAGATAGCATAAATAGCATGATTGTTGTTGTTTCATGTGTTCAAACAGCAACAAAAAAATTAGCCAATCATACTATTTATGCTATCTAGGCACCATGCTAGACAGTATGCACCGGATCGTGAATACCCCTACCATCTCAAAGTGTTGCTGCATATGCAGATACGATATATTGTACTTGTGCAGCGAAAGGCAAGTGAGTAGAATAATGCAGTTGCAACCAAGATTAATGTGTCTCATCGGCAAAGCGTCTTAGTGCAATTAATTTTAATCAATTTTAGATTTCCTTCGCATACGGGTGTGCTAAGTAAGCGATCAAAAGTGCATTTTTCTAACACATTGGTTCTGAACTAACAATAGCTAAGTAGAGAAGAAAAAGTAAGCTGAGATGAACGAGTGTCGAGGAAGAAAAAAATATTTTACAAGAAAATCAAAATAGAAAGGTCGAAGACAGCAACACAGCCAAATAAAAACAAAAGTTATGGAAGAGCAGATCTGCATTCACAAACAAATATTTAGAATTTCTTTTGTTCTTGGCGCGCATGTGTATGTATGCGTGTATTGTGTTAACTCGCGCCTGTCATTTCCCTAGGCCTAGGGTGCGAGTTCAAATACTTTTACAAGATTTCCGAATGCAAACTCCAGTCACACATACCGTATGCACACTAGGGTGGTCCTTAAAAAAAAATCTAATGAACGATTTTTTTCAATCTCACCCCTTCAATTGTTAATACCACTGTCATAGATATCACATGTAAATTTTGGTCCCGATTGGAGTCGATTAAGGCGTGTCGCAAAGGGGTCAAAGGCCAGAGGACTCTAAGGAAATAGTTACTCCTAAAGTCGAGGATATCACATATAAATTTTAGTCCCGATTGAAGTCGGTTAAGACGTTGTCAGAGGGTAATCTGAACTTTGAGCCCCTGAGCGACACACCATAACCGTCTCCAAGTGAGACCAAAATTTGTAATCTGATGTAAAAATTTGCTCCCTACATTTAAGGACCACCCTAATTTACACAGTGCAAGCCACATCAAATGCCTAGTTAAGCATTCTGCTGCTTCCCTTGTCATTTTTACATATGTCGTACAAGCTATTTGATCTGCATACATTTTGTTGCATGCCTCAGGACCGGCCCAGCCGGCACAATTAATCACTGCCCTTGAAAATTTTAAATTGAAAATAGCAGCACGGCCAACCATAGCAATGAAATCATTTTTTCTTCTTTCTTTTCACATGCTTTTCACAAGTAAATACTATTTACTTACTGCATTTCTTTTCTTGTTAATCTCTTTTCCGCTTGCCTGTGCATTGCTCTTGCCGCTTTGAGTGCATTAAAATTGTTTGCCTGGAATTTTTATTGCCGCCTTCAATCAAGAAATCTGTGCTCAGCATTGGCCGGGTGTATCGCTCGTCTATGTAGCTTTTCTTTTATATTTACGCAGCCTCTTCCTTTTCATGGCCACAAGCGCGGTAAATTCATTTTTAACATCGAAATTGTGTGGTAACTTGTAATTCATAAATCCGAACAGCAACAAAAACAAAACAAAAATCTGAAATTTCTTGTAGTTTTGCCCTTCTGCTTATTTTAATTATCCAATAAATGCGCTCCATCACCACTTTAAATGCCGCCTCATTTTCATTGCCTTCAAGGTAAAACTTGCGTATTTTTGTGCCTTTCTGTATTTTCTTTTTTTTAATACAAAAATGTAAGTACTTTAATTTCTGGGAGTTGTGTTCTTCTACTTGTACTATGTTCTATTTATTAGCTACTTAAGTGCAATCATAACTACAAGGAGTAAAATGTAGCTGCAAGCAGCGTTAATTACGAGTACACTGCACTGCACCATACAATTTTTGGTTTGCTGGCAAATGAGTCTACTCGATTCTCATAGACCTAAGGTCACTGAAATGCCAGAAATTTAAGGAAGATTCATCAATGGCTATCTCCTGACCCGAAAACGAGAAACCAAATCGAGCATGCTGTGATAGACGGAAGGTTATGTATACTATTACTTGTTATAGCCAAGAAAAGCACTCTCCTTAGTAAGGCAAGGAAAGGTGCAAGAAGAAGCTGCAAGCAAAACGGACGGGAAGCATATTTGCCACTCGACTCTCATACCTATCGTCTGAGAGTGTTCTTCAAAAAACTGACATTTGAGAACAACGGAATCACATTTGCCGTTCACTACGGACTGGTAATGTAGTCGGATTTCAACGAGACCGAAAGAGCAACTGGCACGACGTGGAAAGCCGTGCCGCCGTATAGCAAATGGCGCCTATAGTCCATCTCTGCGTTCGAGCGCAACAAGAGATATAAAGAAAAGAGAAAGGCCGTAATACGTGAGTGCGGATATGTTGAAATGCTGGCCGATAGCAAAAACTTCCGAAAATTTCATCAGAAAGTTATGCCGCGTACAGAAGTTTTTAAGACCAGGGTGAGCTCTTGTAAGAACATACACGGTAGTCTAGTAACCGATATCCAGAATGAATATTATAAAGGAAGCCCAAGCTGCGGGTCGAAGGTGATGATGTCGATGCCACACACTGGATAGAAATTTCACAGCTGAAAATCGCCGGAGCTGCCGACAAACTGAATAATTTCCATCCAGATTGAAATAAAACGAACCTGCAAAGAGGATTGAGGAAACGACAAATGTTTTAAGTAGTTGGAATGTTCCTAGCTCATCTTCAAAGAGGATTTCCCCAACTGATGCTTTTTAAAACCACTCATAAGAGTATGTTGTATGGTATGTGTGGGGATCCCTACCGCCACAATGGCAGAATGTGACGATCTGATACATCCCCAAGGTGAGTTGAAATCAGCAGATCAAGCAAAGTAATACCGAGCTATCAGGGTTACAAACTTTCTGCTAAGAACCGTGACAGAGAAAGCTTTTTATAATAAAAAACCCTTTGCACGGAAAGCGATATGCCTGTCTCCCGGGAAGACCTACAATCTACGTTCTTCAGAGTCTAACGGAAAAAATTGAAAAATAACTGAAAATGAAAGAAGTGGTCGTAGATATCTTCCAGGACGTAGGGTGTGCTTTTGATAACATAGGTCACTATCTAACGTTAACGTTCGCAAGGTTACCGAATAAGCAATAGCGCTACCTTCTATTCCCTATATGTGCATACGGTGACCAGATTTCCGTGGACAAAAATCTGGACATTTCTAAAGGATCGAATAAAAATAGACATAAATCATTTAATACAGCTATATTTCCAACAAAAACAAAGAGAAAAAAACTTGAAAAATTATCGTGAAAATGTATACATAAAATACATATGTAAAGCTTATATTTTTCATATCCATGAATTTTTGACGAAAATTTGTATTATTTTTTTATAATTCCACTAAAAT